AAAACAGGGCTGGGGTTTTTATCCTTTTCCACCCAGAGCAGTGGGGGAACTCCAGGAAGGGAAAGTGGACCCGTGTGTCTCAGATGGGAACAGGATCCTCACCTTTGGGCCCCGTTGCTGAGTCGTTTTCCTCTCCTCTGTGTTCTGCAGACACCAGGGACTCGGTCATCTCGCTCCACGAGGGCCGCGTGTACCATCACTCAGCTCCTCACCACTTCTGCTACACCAACACACGTGTCCCACAATGGCACGACATCTGGACCAGGACACAGGTGAGAGGAGAAGGCAGGTTCTCCTGGGTCTGGCTGGGCCAAGCCCCTCCAGCAGCTGTGGCCGTGGCCACCTTCACTTCCCTACCCTGTGCAGATCCGAGTCAACAGCAGCCGGATGATCCGAGTCACCCAGGTGGACAGCGAGGAGGAACTGGAGGAGTTCAGTGTGTGGAACATCATCTTCTCCTTCCTGAGGGAGAAGCTGAACGACACCAGCATCGATGTGGATCTCTACAGCAACAAAACCTGCCTGAAGGTCGATCTGCTGGAGACCGGCACCACATACTGCGTGGTCCTCTTCCGACGTACGTCTGCTCCACGGTGGGGGCTCCTGGGGTGGGAGGTGGATCTGGCTGCACCCTGGCCCACCCTGGTCCCCCCTGCTCTCGAGGGGGTGACAAGGATGTGGCCAGGTGAGCTCGTGGTCTGAGGGCCAGCAGGGCTGGTCCTTCCTTGGGAAGGAAGATGAAGCTGCAGAAGGGAGCGTGTCTCCAGCCAGTGGGATATAAAGTGGAGTTGAAGGCACTTGCTGGAGGTTCACCTGGGACACTGCCCCTTCTCTGTGACCTTGTGGCAGGCTGGAGCTCGACCCAGAGGGCACTGTGCCAGGGTTCCTCTCAACCTGGACTCACTCTCTTTCCAGGCTTTGATCCTAAGCTGTTCCTGGTTTTCTTCCTGGGCCTGTTGTTGTTCTTCTGTGGGGACATGCTGAGCAGGTGAGTCCCCTCCTTTTCCCCCACAAGCTGGGTGGGCAGTGCCTGGTTGGCTCTGCAGGTTCTCAGGGGGTTGCTCCCAGCCAGTGTGTTTGCACACAGGCATCTGTGAGCTGTAAAACACCTTGTGCACGTGTGTGATCTCTGCAGGAGCCAATTCTTCTACTACTCAGCCGGGATTAGTTTTGGCTTGTTGGCCTCGCTGCTCATCCTTGTCTACATGATGTCTAAGGTCATGCCCAAGGTGGGTGTCAGGCTCTCTGGGGATGAGAGACCTTGCAGCAGAAGCTCTTTCTATACCTGTGTGGTTGTTCTGGTGAGAGAGCTGGAGTGTGTGGCCTTGGGGTACTGTGTTGTAGGTCTGGCTTTGCATGGAGCAAAGCTTGGCAGCTGTGGGGAGATGGTCATGGTTGTCCTACTGCCTGTCTTGAATTTCTCATCTCCTCTTCTAGAAAAGTCCTGTTTACTTCCTGCTGGTAGGAGGCTGGTCCTTTTCCCTGTACCTGCTTCAGCTGATCTTCAAGAACCTACGGGAGATCTGCAAGTCCTACTGGCGGTACCTTCTAGGTAGGTGTGAGCTGGTCAAACTTATCATAGAATCCCAGACTGGTTTGGGTTGGGAGGGACCTTAAAGCCCATCCAGTTCCAACCCCCCTGCCAGCAGCAGGGATACCTTCCACTAGACCAGGTTGCTCAAAGCCTCATCCAACCTGGCCTTGAACACTTCCAGGGAGGAGCAGCCACAGCTTCTCTGGCCAACCTGGGACACTGGCTCACCACCCTCACAGTGAAGAACTTCTTCCTCACATCTCATCTCCATCTCCCCTCTGCCACTTTCAAGCCATCACCCCTTGTTCTGTCACTCCCTGCCCTTGGCCAAAGTCCCTCCCCAGCCTTCCTGGAGCCCCTTCAGGTACTGGGAGGCCACTAGAAGGTCTCCCCGGAGCCTTCTCCTCTCCAGGCTGAACAGCCCCAACTCTCTCAGCCTGTCCTCACAGCAGAGCTGCTCCAGCCCTCGCATCATCCTCGTGGCCTCCCCTGGACTTGTTCTAACTGGTCCATGTCAAAGTTCCGTTGCCAGTTCACCACTCTGTGTGTCTTCTACTGGAGCTGCAACGCCCTGGTGGAAACTGCTGAGGCTCCTGTCCGCCTCGTGGCTGCAGATGCTGCAGATGCTGCCCTCATGTTCCCAACTGCAGCCCTGGCAGATGCTGCTCAGCCAGCTCCTGTCAGCCAGGCTGAGCCCAACCCCTCTGCTCTCCCACAGGCTACCTGCTGCTCGTGGGCTTCGTCAGCTTCGGCGTGTGCTACAGGTACGGCCCGCTGGAGAACGAGCGCAGCATCACCCTCCTCTCCTGGGCCCTGCAGCTCCTGGGCCTGTTGTTGATGTACTCGGGCATCCAGATCCATCCCATCGCTTTGGCCTTGGTGGTCATCGCCATCTGCACCAAGAACCTGGACTACCCTGTGCAATGGGCCTTCACTGCCTACAGGTGAGGGCTGCAAGCACCCTGGCTTGCCCCTGATTTCCAGCTGTTGTCGGGCTGGGATGAGCTGCTGGATGGATTCTGCATTGCAGAACCCAGCACATTTTCACTGGGGTGGGTATAAGTGGGGGGGTTGTGTCCCTTTTTCCTTGGGGTTGGTGCAGGAGGGTGCCCTGCTCCTCCTTTTGGGTGAGAACCTCCCTCAGGAGCGAGGAGTTAAAGGCCAGAGGGACGTGCTCCGCTCCTCCCACCGCCAGCTCTGACCCACCTGCACTGGGAGCTGGGCCTGCGATGGGGGTCCTGCCCCGGCTGGGTGGGCAGTAACTGGTGCTGCTCCACTGGCAGGAGAATGCAGAGTGCCAGGCTGGGGCCGAGCCCCCCTCGCCTGCTGACAGAGGAGGAGTACCGGCTCCAGGGGGAGGTGGAGACACGCAAGGCCCTTGAGGAGCTTCGAAGCCACTGCAGAAGCCCAGATTTCTCTGCCTGGACTGCAGTCTCCCGCATCCAGTCTCCCAAGAGGTAATGTCCCCTGGCAGTGTGCTTGGGGTGGCCGACCTGCATCTCTGTGTTCTTCTGAAAGCCTGGGGTGGCTTTGTGCTGTCACCTCTGGCTTTAGAGATAGGGAGACAGAGGCACGGAAGGTCTGCGGTGTGTGGCAGCAGGGTGTGCCACAGGGGAAGGACAGATAACGCCCAGTCCTGACACTGAGGCACTTCACCCCGGCTCCTTGTGTGCCAGGACCTTGCAAGAGGGTGGCACGTGTGCTTCTTTGCACAACACACTTCTTTGTGGCTTCTTCCCAGGTTTGCTGACTTTGTGGGTGGTGCCTGTCACCTCACCCCCCAGGAGGTCTCTGTCCACGAGCAGGAGTACGGCCTGGGTGGCATCTTCATTGAGGAACAGCTCTTTGAGGAGGAGGAGGATGAGGATGAGGATGATGACTCACCCTTTGACAAGAATCACATGAGATATTCCCTGACCCACAACCACCTGGATGCAGATTGAGGTCAGCTGCCCCAGACCCACAGATGTGAGGGGCAGACCCACTGCTGTTTCCCCACTGTGGAGCCCTGATTGCTGGGGAGAGCTGGTGCCTCTTCTCCCAGCACCCCCAATCCCACCCTGAGCTGCAGCAGAGCCTGGTGGGAGGACAAGGGGGAGGTGACACCCTCATCTTCCTCAGGCAGCTCCTGCCAGTGTAAAGCACAAAAGCTTTTGTCAGCAGAGCCCAGGGTGTTGGCAGGGGAGGTGCAGGGAGCTGGTGCCACAGGGCAGGTGAGCTCTGTGCTGCCAACAAGACATGGGACACTGGTCCTGTCTGAAGGTGGACTGGAGCCACCCTGGTTTTTGGGTGTGGGTGTTTGTGAGCTCCCAGCGTGTGAATCGTAGGGGCAGGGACCTCCTTCCCTGTGTCCAGCAGATGGGAATCCCTCTTCCCCTCCCTGCTGCCTCTGGGCTGTTGGGCACCCTGGCTCTGCCAGGAGTGTCCCTGCCTGCTGGGGTGGGGACAGAGCGAAAGGTCTGTCTCGTGTGCAGGTGCCTCTGAGGGTGACGTGCGTGAGAGGAACTTTGGACCCATCCCACTGGTCGGTACCTGCGTGCTCGGCATCTTGACTGCTGCCAGGCTGCTGTGGGGAGGAAGTGGGCAGCAGGTGACCTGCTCCTCCTCCTTCTGCTGTTACCAAAGATGCCAGAGGGCTCCAGCTGGTTTGGCTGTGACTCTGCCTTGGCTTAAATCCCACGTGGATACCAAAAACCCCGGTGCCTCCCTGGCAGAGATTCAGCTCAGCTGGCTGCTCCGTGCGCTCGTCGCGGAGCTCAGGAGAAGGCAGCCTTGGAGCCTGCTCAGTGCCCCCCGTGCTCCCCCCGCTGCTGTGTCGTGGCAGAGGCTGTGCTCAGCCTCCCTCCTCTTACCCCTCTATCTGCCAGGGGGTCCCTGGGCTGAGGATGAGTGTGGATGTGCTTCCTCCTCCCTGCCAGTGAGGTGCTGGCAGCTCCACATCCCCTTGAAGCTGGTACCCTCAGCCCTTAACATGCTGTTACATGGGGCCTGTCCCCACTGCGCTCCTCTCCCAGCTGGTGTGGGCAGGGGATGGGGATGAGGATATGAGGATGGGGATGGGGATGTGGGGTTGGGGACAGCTCTGCCTGCGTTCCTGCTCCTCAGCCTTCGTGCCGAAGCACAAAGCTGGAGGGGACACCCCAATCTATGCAACTTTCTAAGCA